CACACTTTCTAACACTTTTCAAATAGTTTGGCAAGTATTTATTGCGACATGGAATTGGAATCAGTGCTGCCATCACTCAGCTTGAAAAACCGGACAGAAAAGCCAAAAAAAACAGGGAAAAAGAGGACAAAAAAGTTTAAAAAAGGACAAAAAAAAGGACAAAAGTAAATGCGCCTCCATTTTTCTGTTTTTACCAATGGGTGATATATTTACTTAATATAAATGGATTTTATATTAAATTCAATTATGTAATGATCTATTGCGCCCGACTCACAACCTTCTTCGTTTGATCATTTTACCATGGTCAATTTTTGTGCGTATACGTAATAATCTAAAATATTAAAAAAATAAAAGCATTTCAAGTAACTATATTGGTAATTAAAAAAAATTCAATATCTGCGTCAAACCCGAATAAGAGTCGTTCAAATATGAAATTTTTTTCTGACAAAAAGGCTGAGAGTAAAAATTGAGAACTTTTTAAAGTGTTTTCCTCTTTTTTTTGCTACAGAAAAAATCGTACTATAAAGAAAGTCCATCGACTGCATTACATCTCTTTGATAATTTGTAAAAAGAATTATTTTTAAAGTGCGGAACTGTAAGAATAATGGTTAAACGGCGTTTTAGCATATAAAAGCAGGTTTATACACTTTCGACTAGCAAAAAGAACACTCAAAACCATATCTTTGAAAAAAGGACAGATTTCCGGATAGGGGATGTTTGAATTTTTTTCCGGATAAAGTCGTTAAAAAAAGGACAGATCTGTCCGGAAAGAGGACAAAATGGCAGCACTGATTGGAATTTAATTGAATTGTAATTGCAATGGTTTTGCGTTTGGCTATCAATTAATTATTTAGCGCGCTAATTGCCGTTATCCGAAAACAGAATTAAAGTGACGGCGCCGGCAATTGAGATATCAGTTGCGCAGGCGCAGTGTGGGGCCTTCGGAAAAAAAACGTATGATAACCTGCGACTTTTCCCAATTTGGAGTTGGAAAGGGGAACGGGAATCAAAGTCGGAGCCCAGTGGCACTGACACGACCCAGAGTCGAGGATCTTTGTCCAACCAAGTCACGCATTGCAGACATTTCCTCAAAACTTGATTTCCAATTCAATGGCAGCTATGGCAAATGCAATTCTGGAAACCGGCCCCCAAGAGTGCCAGTGCCAGCGGGCCACAAAAAAGGAGATACATAGAGATACATTTGTAGCTACAAGTTGGCTTTGACGTTGGCCTGTCATTCAAGCGCCAGATACTCAGATACTCGTAAACAGGAAAACATTTCCTCGAATGCACTATTTAAGTTGAGCATGTTCTCGATTGGTTCACAACATTTCCTTTGTCTGTTCTGTCGTCGTCGTCGTCCAGAAAATAAAAGACACAGCAAATCCCTTTTTTATGTGGGCAGCTTGCCTGACAATGGCGCCGTCTGACATTGAAATTTCGTGGCATTTAACTGCCTCACTTAGTGGTAATGTTTGCAGGGCCCAAACTCTTAGACTCGGTCGCCAAAAATCAAAACAGAACCAACAAAAGTTTGCCCTAGTTTCGTTGGTCCGCCAAAATAGTGGTGCGTCATAAATAAAAACAAACAGAACGGCTACTGTAAATGCTTCGGGGGTCCATGACAGTTGCCGAAATAGCCGAAAGTATCTTGCTCTCTGTTAATGTATACACATATATATTTTTAGGTATATTTCTTTGAGACAGCCTGAAGGAGGCGACGACGTCTCTGAGTCATCCGAATCTTGCAAAAGCTTTGACACACATAAAGAAAAGTGTTTCTGCATATAAAAGACAAACTAAATACAGTGCAAACTAAATAAAGGGAAAAAAATACCAAAAATTATAGTACTAATGTAGTAATTAAATACCTAATATCCTAAAATTCATTATTCATATTCAAAATACTTTTAAAAGATTGCAGAACTGTTTATTTGCTTAAATACTTTTTGACTTTAAAGAATATACATTAGCTGTAATATTTATTTGTTTCCAATTGCGCGACATGGGCCCCTGTAAACAAACCAGCATCTCGAACCAAAAAGCAATTAATGATCCAAAAAAAACAATTCAAATTTAAATGTTTACTTCCTTTTCTCCCCCACATTATTTGCTTTATTTTTTGTATTTATGCCTTGTAGATTATTTTGGTCACCAGGGATCTGTTTATTTGCCCACATGCCATGTCGTTTATATAAAAAAACACAACACATTGAAAGTATCCTCACCAGATGTGCGAATGGATAAGATCAAAATGTCGACAATATAACCTACAGCATATATACATTCATATATATATTTATGTGTAATTTGAAATTCTGGAAAAATCAGCACAGAATTTGAGTTTAGCTAACATAATTTCGATACGAGGGCAAATAAACTGACAGGCCAGCAGACGAGAGATCAGTGGAAGAGATCATGATGAGGTTATCGCTGATGACGCCAAAATGATGTCATATACGGCGGACACACTCGAATGCCTTATATCTAAAGCTTGTTTTGGGTTTTGTGTTTCAAATTAAACCCATACCAATAAATGTAGGTACCGCCTATATATATATATTTTATATGCCCTTATCCCGACCCCCTCTGTCCCATTAAAATGGTCTTTTTGTGTTGGCGTAGCTCCATTGTTTGCCATTAGAATGTCTTGTCTGCCGGTTTTAAGCTCCGAAGTTGTTTGTCGGGTTTTCGGCCCGCAAAGATCGGCACACACTACCTCATCGACTGCTTTGCTTTCTGCAAAATTCAAGTTCAAGATACAGATGCGGGTGTATATTTTGTATATATCGAAAACTCGCACGAAAAGTAAGGCAAAAACACAATGGCAAGGTGGAGATATCTTGAAGGTTCTACACTTTCTTAGGGTGGTTGTCGTTGTCTAACGTTTTCTAAGGGTGGTTCCCGAAACATTCCACCTTTCAGGGTGGTTTCCTGCTGGGTCTTCTAACAGCGCTTCTTAACCTTCTCCGGCGTAGATTTCATTTTTGGCTTGATTGACGGCAACGCCTGGCGTGTTTTAATGCCTATTTCCTACTTTTATTGCAAAGGGGTGGTTCTTATTATTTACGTTTTAGCGTACCGGCATTTGTTCCACCCTATCGGCATTTTTTCCGAAATCCCACACGCATAACTTCGTTACTTTTTGGCTACTTTATGGTAACTTAGGGTGATGATAAATTGCTTAATTTATTGATAGATCATGAAATATGTAAAAGTATCTGGGTTAATGGTGTAAATAGGGGTGCAAGGATTTTTATACATCAAAAAAGAGCAAAAAGCAAGGCCTCCTGTGCTCTCATATTTCAATCTAAGGATATTTTCTTAAGCTACTTAAAAAAACTGAAAAAAGGGCAAGGAAATGATTTTGAAATTCGAAGTGCATTTTTTGTTCTGTCAATAATAAAAGGAAAGTAATTTGAATAATAACTGTTTTGTCTGCTAGACAAGTATTTATACGAAATATTATAAAGGCTTTGAACGTTTAATAAAACGCTACACTTTCTATATAAATCTACAAAACAAATTTAATTAAAGAATCAATTAGATAATTGCTTTTTTTTTAAATACCATTTGGGGAAATACCTTCCCACCTATTTGGTCGCTGAACTCGTAAACCTATTTAGCGACTATTAGGTCATTCCCATAAAAAGAAAACTCAAAAGGGGCCCGTCTGCCAGTGGCAAACTTCATAAATGGGCTGGAAAAAAAAAGTGCAATTGTGGCTTGCTAAAAAGGAAACGCAACAGTTGCAACATGGTAAGTGGAAACGATGTCGACGTCATGGGTGGAAAATAAAAATGTCAATAAAAATTACAGCAATTGCTGTCCGGCCCCGCCCCCAATCCACCCAGTTAACATTAGGGGGCGGCAAATGGTAACACGCAGGGTCCTTTGTGGGCCCTTTTATTATAGTAACCAAGGTTACTATCCTATCCTATCCCTGGTGTGTGTCCTGGCGTCAATTGAGCGCTCGGCTGATTAAATTACCCGAGTGCACAGTGTGGGAACAACGAACAAAAGGTCAATGGAATGGGGGATTGTATAGTGCATTAAGCAATTGTCCTTTTTATATATGTGCCATGGCCATGTCGCCAGGCAGTCTCAGCGTCAGCGAGTCGCCGCGAAAAGTGCACTTTTCAGTGCGTCAACCCACAAAACTTTGTCCCTACACAATTTCATTGATTTTCTCTTCTCTTAGCTGATGATTTCATTTTCAGACCCCTAACACACAGGAATCACGAGAATCCTTCGAGGCAAATGCAACATGTGACCGAAGGCAAACGAAGTCCTCGCTGGAAAACGACGTCTTCTTCAGTAAGTCACATCATTTTCGCTTTTAATTTCGTCTTTTGGCTGCCGCCGATGACCGCAAAGCCACCAAACCAGATGACATCACAACTTGTAAGTGGGTTTGAGATTGTGTGTCAGTGTGTTTTATGTGCGAAATGATTGATGAGTAAGCTTTAAAGAGATTTAATGGGGAATACACGAAGGATATCTAAGAAAATTATTAATCATAACTCGGGTTATAATTAAATACAATTCTTTAAATCGTAAAAAATGGTAAAATATATTTAAAGGAAAAAATAAGATTATTGTTTTTAAATTTTATTTTACTTTTATACAAAATCACTAAAAATAATATTTTAATTTCATTAAAGTTTTCAAGAAAGTAATTACATTTTGATATCAGTGTACTGACTTCGTAATATATCATTAAAAATTTTAAGAAATTAATAAATAATTCCTAAATAGTTTATCAACAAAAAGATTGACAAGAATATTATAATACTTTAGCAATAATAAACTTTTTCCATTTTGAAAAAATAATTTACATGCAAATTCATTGTCTATTTCCACAGTTCCATTACAAAATGCAAATAATACATATAATATTTTATTTTAATTTGCCTGGCTGCCATAAACGTTGCCGAAAATCGCTCAATAATATTTCCGTTCTTGCGGCAATTGCTTAAGCTAATTATTCAGTTAATCACCAAGTCGTAGCTTCTTGTTTGTTATGGGGTCCATTATTGGCTATTTATACGTTCTCCATTAACCAAAAAAGCGCACACTGCCAATCGCACATATAGATTAACAACACGAGCACTTGTTCGTATGTGGCCAACTGTCGCCAGGGAATTCGAAATCGTATTTAATTGTGTTTTTATTTCTCTCTTTTTCTTTGAATTAAATGAAAATATTCTAAATTCAACACTGGCTGGGGCACAAGAATAACAGGCGACACCGCGCCGAACTAAACGCGCAGCAATTTCTAAAAGCGAAGAGTGCGACTACGAAAATAAGTTTTTTCAACAGACAGAAGTCAAAAGGAAACACTATTATGTACATAAGTAGCTAGAAGGGAAACACACCGAAAAGCGCTCGTCGCGCGGCTGCTTCAAATAAAAACGACTTTGTTTTTATTTTATATATGTTTTTTGGCGGCAGCTGCCAGAAGTCAAAGAAGCTCCGGCGTGGGTTTTTTTTTTGTTCTGGCAATCCGTACGCGTCCAAACGCCTCGCCGTTCGAAAGAAAACTAAACGGCCAGAGACAAAAGCAGAGAATATTCAGCCAGCTGTTCCGGTCTGCCGGCTTTCCTATTCGCGGGGACGCGACTGTGACTTAAGAGCCGCACAGTGGGGCGCCTAGAACAAAAAGCCTGCCAAAATGGTTTTTTATACCCTTGTAGAGGGTATTATAATTTCAGTCAGATGTTTGCAACGCAGTGAAGGAGACGTTTCCGACCACATAAAGTATATATATTCTTGATCAGCACCAATAGCCGAGTCTATCTAGCCATGTCCGTCTGTCCGTCTGTCCGTTTCTATGCGAACTAGTCTCTCAGTTTTAAAGCTATCGCGATGAAACTTTCCCGAAGATCTTCTTTCTATTGCAGGTAGTACATATGTCGGAGCGAGCCGGATCGGACCACTATATCTTAAGGCTCCTATAGGAATATTCAAACATATATAAGAAAATTCTTGTTAATTTGTAGGAAGTAGGCGTTTTAATTCTTGACTACTTAAAAACAATATTCAAAAATAGGAACACTGAATCTGGAATCCCTGGAACTGCACCGAGTGAGTATTACTTTATCTGCAAGGGTATATAAGCTTCGGCTGGCCGAAGGTAGCTTCCTTTCTTGTTTTTTTTTAAGATTTTCCAAAATGTTGCAATGCAACTTCAAAAACAATTGAATTCTCTATACACATCAAAAGGAAAGAGTGATCTGTGTTAAATGGTTCTCCCACTACAGATTTATAAAGTGGATTTTTCGAAATATAATTTTAGCCAATAAGAAAAAAAGGTATTTTTACCAGGGACCGTAAATAATCATTATTTGAGATTTTTATTTTAATAAGACTACTGTGATTTTTGGTTTTAAACGTCAAAAATTACGTTCTTTTTACTATTGTCCACAAAGTATATGCAGGTCAACAAATCTGAAGAGCAAGTTAACTGTTATTTGTTCATGTCCATAAAGTGCATAAAAACCAGTTAAATTGTTGACTAAAACTTGTACAAATCTCAGTAGGCCTTTTAAAATAAAAATCTCAAATAATGATTATTTACGGTCCCTGATTTTTACACATCTTTGAAATTTTTCTGAAAGCGCCCAAGGGCCTAAGTCGTATATGTAACGATTGAAATTTTAAGAGCAACCAATTCTTAAAATATTAAAAAAAAAATAAAAATTTTAGATACATAATTACTATTTTTTTTAATTTTTTAAAAGTGGTCCAAAAAAAAAGGGATTTTTTGGATATCCTTGGACGTAAAGTAATGTTACACCCTAGATCCCCGTTTAATTCTTTTTTTAAAAAAAAGTTTAGATATTTAACTACATATTCTGAAAAAATTAGCCTGCCCTTTTGTGCCTCTTCTGAGAAAACCGCAGTTTAAGTTAGCAAGAAATGTTCATAATTTGAAATATCGTCAGCCTTGGTTCATTCGCGCGCCCTAACATCATGAAGATATTTTACTTATGTGAAGGTATTGATGAAGATAATGATAAATTAATAAACAAATTTGGGTTTAAAATTTTAAATTATGTTATTTTACTAAAAATACATATATGAAGTAAATACCGGTTTCTACCAGTTTTTTTTTGAAAATATGCTATATTTCCTTGATTGATTCTATGACATCTATAAGATATCATTGACCAATTAAAAAAAAGGTAAGCATAGAGCTAAAATGATAAATAATGACTTAATCCCAATTTATATGAACCAATATTGAAATAGAACCGAGACATTCCCCTTTGTAATAAGCGTTTATATGGCAGCTATAAGATATAGTTGACCGATTTGAACAATTTTTTTTTCAAAAATCACGTTAAATTAAAAAAAAATATTGGGAAACTTAGAACCCTATAAGTAATTTATTTATATTTTTTTTCTTAAAAAAACAATTTATTTTTTCTTAAAAAATTTCTGCAACAAAAAAATTTCACTCAAAAAATTCACCTTATGATGTTTTTTTACATATTTAATTGCCTTCAACAATGCCCCATCAAAAGATATTCGATATAGGGCTCCGCTAATTTAAGGCAGACTTTTGGCTTTTTCGCCCCACTGTGAGCCGGCTGAAAAATAGCCTTGCATACTTTTGACTGCCGGCTCAGCCTATATTTATGCTACGACTTTTGTTATCAGCTATATTGGCTTTTGGCAAGATTTTCCCGGCTAACGAAATTTTTTCGGTCGCTGTCTGGAATTTTCAACCCTTAGGTTGTTTTGCACGGAAACACCCCCACAATGGGAAAACCTCGGGGACACAACACGGACTACGGATAGACACACACGTGCATTGTAGCTGAGGGTGTTTTGTCTGGCCTGGCTGATATGCATATGGGACATTGCTACAGACCATTTTCTTAATGAACTAGAAAATATTGACCTAATATGCATAACTAAAAGGTCTTTAATAAGTGTTGTCAGCATGGGGTGGAAACGCTAAGTAAATACAAATATTATTTTCATGTTTGTTTTGGTAGATTTTAATTGACTTTAACTGTCTGCTAAACAATTATTATTTGACATTCAATATTATTTATTACGCATATACAATTAAATGGAAATAATAGTTTTGTGCAAACAAATTTCAATTGTGTTTTAGGCGTTTGATTTAAACGTGTGAATTCAAAATCATATTTATTATTATTTAAAAGTATTAGTTAAATGGGTGTTGCTTTTTCGTTAGGAACTTGGTTCAAGATATACTGGTTGAATACATTAATATTGTGTTCTTTTTATTTTTATAAAGTATTAAGAGTTTAAAAAAAAATCTTGGTTTACTGAAATCTAAAACAAAGTTTTGGGTTAATTAAAATTTTAATTTTAAAATGTGATTTGAATTTTAATTGATCTGTTACATTTTAATTTTATTAATAGTCGATAATAATCATTATTGTCCAGCACTAACCTCCCCCAAATGCTAATTACTTAGCGCTTAAGCCAGGTGCAACTACCTTGAGTATCCAAGCAAACTTTCCCTAACTGACTACCGAAACAGCTGCAATTGTTTCAGGAGTTCGAGGGGCTCTCTAATAGGAGAAGGCTAAATATCCATATATCCAGAAACAGTTGCTTCCCCACAGCTGCTTTCGCCAGGCGGCCCCCGAGTGCCAATTAAATTTAATTTAAGGCGACATTTGCCGTCGGCCACTCACAGTTGCATTTGTCTTGGGCCAGAAGAATGATGATGATGCTCTCGAAACGATCCCCAAGCTGCCGCAGATATTGCGATCGAATGTGGCACATCGATGGGGCTATTTTCGATGGCACCACCGATTAGCCTATTGGCCGAGTGAAAATCATTTAACTTTAACCCTTTGCAGGGCGCGTGTCTGGGAATTGGAATCGGAATTGCTTCGACTCTTCTGCTCTTCGCGCTGTCTATTTTTGGTTGGATGCCCGCTCGTTTGCTCGCGAAAAGCTAAAGACATCGGGTCGATCGGACGATCCCCGATCTACTCTACACTCCGGCGTAGCACAGATTCCGCTGCTTTCCGCTCTTTCTTTAGTTTTCAGTAGAAAACCGTTGGCCGCGCAAATCGCACGGATATGCGGGCGGACTTAAAATCGACCAGAGATACAGATCAGTCGGAAAACAGAGAGAAAAGGTAGCAAAGACACATACTCCAATCAGATCGAATCGGCGGACTGAGAAATATGCAAAATTGGTGGTTTAAATAAATAAATAAATGCGTTTTCGGTGCGCGTCGAAAGTGCAGTGCGCGTTTCACAGCCGGATTGCGATTCATGTATCCATAATAAAAATGCCCAAAAGCATAAGACACAAATTCGCCAAAATATTTCGAAAATAACCTGCAGGAACAGCAGAAAACTCATTAATTTTCCAAATACCCAGCAACAAAAAAACAAATGAACGTATCTCACGGATGCGAAATTCGGTGTGCGGCTGTAATTTTAAACGCATTTCTTGCGCTTGTTTTGACATTGAAATGAAACAACAATAACAATCTGATAATTAAAACGGAGAAAACACACGCCAACAGATATACACCTGCTGCCGTCTGCTCTGCTCAACCGAAAAAAAAAGAAAAAATCCATCTAAATCTAAAGAGCAATCGGAAATCAGGAAACTTGGAGAACTCAGGGAATACGAGAAGATGACCACGCGCGGCATTCGGCGTAAGAAGTCGACGTTGACGGAGTTGAAGATAGCCGTGATCGGGGCGCCCAGTGTTGGAAAGAGCGGTAAGAATCGAAATACCACGATCCCAAGTGCTGCAACAACACAAAACAATCCGAGCAATAGCAGACGTATCCGATAGATACTTCTGTAGTCTGTAGCATGGATGCCGAGCAACAACAGCAAATTAGTTGAGCAATCGCCGATTCGTGTATATTTAGACATTTGTTTGTTTTGTTTATAAAGTGGCAGCAGCATACATATACCGATGCAGATCGCAGATATCCCCAATACACAGCAACACACACACTCTTGCACCCGGGGAGTATCTGTGTGAGGCGGCGGCGGCTGCTGGCACTTTGGCATTGCCTGCCGCTTTAATCGCTTTCCACCGTTTGATTTGACAAGCGGCTCTGGCCAAAAGACCAGGCCATGCTCTAATTTATGACGACCCATGAGCACATCGCCTCAGTACACCGAACAAAATAAAATGCTTACTTAATGTTTTGGGATAGTCCCTCATGTTTTGATATTTTTCCATTAATGGAAATGAATTTTATGGGCAATATTTAAAAAAATGTCGCTCAACTTAAAATATATTTTTTAACAGTTTAAATTATTGCCCCTAAATTCTTTTCCATTTATGGAAAAATATCAAAACATG